TCTTTCCTTCCAGTCATTTCTAATTTTCTTCCTTTGAAATGATATTGTTCAATATTTTTGGCTATTTAACTTTTACTTTTCTTCAAGGTCTGATGAAAATGCAAAATAATTTCTGTGGTCATGTTTCCTTAAATGCTCTTAGTATAGCCCTTATCACTCAATAAATATTTGTACTTTTTCTACATGTCTGAGTGTGCTTAGTGGATTACAATATGACTCAGGGTTACTTTTTAACCCTATATTCCCAAGGGACATGAACACTTCTTGCTACACAATGTAAATCCTAAACATATATTTAATAATGAAAGTAACCTGGATTTGTCTTTTGAGTTACATTATTACATCATTAAAATGAGGACTTTAGTTTTTTAATTAATTTTTTTTTTGGTTTATAGCCCAATAATGAAGTATCATTCACAGTTTTCTTAATATTTTCTTTGACAGTCTCTGGTTATATATTCTCTGAGAGAATTTAGAGGAAAAAAATTATTAATAGCAAATCATTTGTCAGCTAGCTTCAGTGGCATAATGCTAATACCATACTTAGTGATGCTGAGACCACAAGGGAAGGTTCAAGGTTTTTATCCCAAGGTGTCCCTGGACATCTGTATTACACATGCTTCTCTGTCACCCTTGACTATGAATGTGGGTAGATCATGGTACAAGGACCCTTTTGGGGGCACCACTTTCTCTCTCTCTTTTAAGAATTAAATTTAGAAAACGAATTTGTCATTGTTCAATGATAGATACATTGTGGTTCATATTGTTTTCTAATTCTCAATCTTAACTTGAAATCTTCTCTGAGTGAAATTTACATATGAGCAGTAGGTTTTCTCCCTCAAACTTTTTGTATGCTTATAATAGTAAGTCTATAAAATTTGTATTATTTCCATTTTACATATGAGGAAACTAAGACACTTTGTCCGATCATGCTGACAATAAACGAGGCAGGATTAAATGATCTCCAAAGCCTATGTTTGTCAACATTATGCTGTAAAATGTCAACAAAAGAGGACCATAACACAAGAGAAATATTGGGTTGTCAGAAAAGTCACGACATATTTTTGCATAGAAAAACAGAAAAAAAACATGTCATACTTTTCTTACAACCCAATGGTTTAAATGAAGAATCAAAGAGGAAGAATTTAAAGTACTTTTATCTAGAATATTTTGGTCTTCTGTTTCAAATTGGTCTGGGGTAGTTGACCGTGTTTACTCTAACCATTTATGATAACCCAAATATTATGTACCCTAAATATGGTTGTGTTGGGATGCTTGAGTGCATGGCACTACAGCAGATAAAACATTGCTTATTATGCATAATATGTCCATTGGCATTAAAGATAACATTCCAAAATTTAATTGTTTTGGAGGGCTGGATGCTGAAACAGTGGTAAAGTGAGATGCTCTGCAAGGCTGACCCACATGAGAAGGTTCCAGGTTTGCATCCAACGATATCTCTGAGTATCCGTGGTTTGTGTGTGACCATGACCTGGGGTTGGCTGAAGCTGGAGGTGGATCATAGCTTCAAGACTCTTGAAAGTTCTATGTCTCTATCTCTCTGTCTCACTTGTGGATGAAATAAATGTAATTTTTTTTCAGATGATAAAATATTCATATGATTAAAAAAGTCTATTTGGGACCAGCAGTTGGCATAATGGCTGTGTCTCTGGACTCCCACGTAGTTGACCACAGTTTGAATCCCAGACCCAGTGGCTTAAAACTCATACTGGATTAGTGTGCGTGCCCCAAATCTCAAGAGGATAATGGAGAAAAAGGGATTGTGGTGTGGCCATACCCTCTGGGGGGTGATTTCTGGCTTTTTGTCTCTTTCTTTCTGGCAAGTGCACAGACACTATAGCAAAAGCCTCTCCAAAAAAAAAAAAAAATGTGTATGGTAAAAAGTCTTATTTCCATTTCTAACATCTATTCATCCAGTTGCCACACCAATATTTTCTTAGTTTCTCATATATCTCTCCACGAGATACATATTCTTTCAGAGTTGCTTCATATAAGCAAATATGAATATTTCTATTGACCCCTCTCCTTTACTACAAACGGCATAACATATTTACTATTCTGCATAATGATCTCAGAGTTTTTTATATCAATAATACGGTACATATTTCCAGCTGCAATGATACAGGCAATAGGGTGCCAATGAATGATGCTGGAGCCATATAGGAAAGCCTGGAGTTGAGATTTTGGATTGGGCTGAAAATGCCAGGTGCACACTCCAACATATTCTTAGTCCAGGCTGGCTGGAGGGCTGAGAGTTAGACTGTGGCACAGTGAGACCTAGTTAGGGGTCTTTATTGCTCTTTCAGTAAATAAATACATAAACTTAAAAAAAATGGATCTTCTTTGTTATTATATGGTTTCATGTATTGTTATATAGAAGTACTGTAATTTAGCCAATTCTCCATTAGTAGGCAGTTGGGTTGTTTCTAATATTTTGCAGCTATTAAAAATCATATTGCAATGAATAGGCTTGTATATGCATCATTTTGAACCTATGCACAAATATCATGGGATACATTTCCAATAGCAGAACTGTTGGTCAAAGGGTATTAGCATTTGTAATTTTGATAAATGTAGCCAAATTGCCTTTCATGGAGCTTGTACCAATTTGCATTACCACTAGCAGTATATGAGAGCTCCTGCTGATTTATAACCAAGCTTGTTAATTAACTTTTTGGGTTTTTGCCAATCTGATGAGGGAAGAAAAAAATGGTGTCAGTGTGATTTAATTTGCATTTCTTTTATGAGTGAGGTTGAGTATCTTTTCATTTGGTTAAGAGCCACTTGTATTTTCTTTTGTTATCTATGTAGATTATCTTTTTATGTTATTTTCTCAATTTTCTATTTGGTTGTTGGTCTTTTTCCTATCATTTTCTAAGAGATGATTATGTGGTAGATAACTAACTGTGATGAATTACAAATATTCCACCCATTTTGTCATGATTTTTGCTTTTTTTTTTTTTTTAATAGGGTGTTGTTTTGTCATGATTCTCTTACCTCATCCTCTCAAGTCTCTAGGACTACAAGTGTCTCCTCATCCGGTTTTTAGGGTGAGCCAGGAATCCAGCTGGGACCCCCATGTGTCTCAACCTGCCAAGTAACAGTGTCAACCGGCCAACACTAGTGCAGCTGTCTCATTTCTTTTTCTTTCTTTCCTTTTTTTTTTCTTTTGATTTTCATTTGCTATAGTGTTTTATGCCATGTGGAATTGTTTGGTTTCTGGATTTGAAGCCACAGCTATAGCAGTTCAACAATATTTTTAAGCTTAAATTATTTATTTAATTTTACCACTGGCTGGCCCCACAGTTCAATACTTTAAAAGATTTCCTCCCCCATGTTTTCTTTGTCACATGTGTAGCTTCATTATTTATACTAAAATCTTTCTTCCATTTGTTATTTATCTTGGAATATGGTATGAAGTATAGGAGAGGACTTCAAAAAGTTTGTGGAAAATGGAATTAAAGTTCAAGTTTATTTTGATGCAAAACAATGTTGAAATCCATGCATAGGTTTTTCATCATGACAAACTTTTTGAGGGCATCTCATATTATTCCAGCCCCAGTTATTAAATTATCCATTGTTCTTTCAGTCACATGTCAAATTCCTGAATGTGTTTGGCTCTACTTATGGACATTCTATTATGTTACATAGATTCATGTATTTGAGTACTAATACCACATTGTTTTACTTATTGAGGTTTTATAATGTGTTTTCATAACCAGTAGGGCTTGTCTCCTCTCTGCTCTGATTTTACTATTTTTCTGGCTTTTCTTTTTTCTCTGTTTGTGACTCATAGAATTAGGTTATTCAGTTAAAAATAAATTTGTTAATATTTTTAAAAATTACATTTCAACATTAATTGGAAATATCCTACATCTTTAAGGTGATGAATCTTCCTATCTATAAGAATAATATGTCTTTCCATTTGGTCAAGGCATCTCAAATTCTTTATTAGCATTTTACAGTTTTCTTCATTTAGTCTTACATACTTCCTGTTGAATTTTCCCCCTATTTTTTGTTACTGTTATAAATTAGATCGCATCTTCTTTTATATATTATAACTATTTTACTTTTTTGGAGAGATTTTTTTTTTTTTTTTTTTTTTTTTTGCTTTAGGGGC